GAAAGTCCTTTTATGCATTTAAAATTCGGTGCCGACCCTTACACAAGAGGAAGGTTAAGTATTAAATATTGAGTAAATTGAAATGAGAACATCATTATATTTCATTACATATTCAGTGGAACCTTGGTTTTTGAATTGTGCAAATTTTAGTAAATTGGATTAATCATTCCTGGAGCCCGGATGACTGCTTATTCAAACTTTTTCAACAATATTTTGTTTACAGGTTCATACATGAAACCAATGAAAGTAATTAGATCTAACAAAAAAGATAAACACAACTTAATAAAGCTACGTATAAATGGGAAGACAATTTGAATCACCCTTACCAGTGCTGAGGAGTCATGATTGCACAATGTTTAGTGCTTTTAGTTGATCCAAATCAGTAGCAACTTTTCCGCTTCTTCTAATGTCTGAGATCTTTGCTTGGTGATCACAGTCATTCCTTTGGCAACCTTAGCTTCTTTTATTTCTTGTTCTTAATGATGGTACACATCCACAACTTTGCTAAGCCTTAGTGTAAAGCCAGATCTGAAATACAAGTGCCATTCTCATGCTTTGGTATAATGTCTTTTGTTATGACGCCACGCAAATCACTTGCTGCTTGAGCGGTATTATCTGTTGTTTGGCAACCAAGTTATGGTACGGCAACCAGGGCAATGTTTGGTTACAAATTTCGTCCGTGAACCGAATTGGTCAAAAAGGGAAGCCTTTGACAACCAAGCTTTTGCTGTACTTTGCGACATTGTTGTTTTGTGGTCATTTGGAATTTTCTCTGATAAAATATGTACCTTGGGTCAAAAGGTTTGGTAAACACTGCTTAAAACTCATGGCAGGAAGTATTCTTTGTGAAGCGTTTATTTTTTCTATTTTGATCTTTTTGATCTGTAGTGTGTTGCAACTGAATAGGAAAGAGTACTGTAATATAATCTTTTTTTATAAATGTCTCCATTTTAACAGCAGATCTATGGATATGAGGACTTACAAATGCTGCAGTCCCACCTTCATATGGTGAGTCTCATTTGTCTTGTCATTGCAGCAAATTAGTTCGTTCATAATAATTTGGTTCTTATTCCCACTGGAGTCATATTTTGCTTTATTCAGTACTCAAATGAATACTTTATATGTCCTACCAAGGACTACTATGGTGTAACATTCCCTGGTACAACAGCTGCTATGCCTGGAAGAGATGGCCTAGCCAACAATCCGTACTCTGGTAAGTCAACCTTTTGTTCAATTGTGATTGGTGTCTATTGGTGATATTTAACTTTTAATGACTTTGTTAATCTAAACAAGATTAAAGCATTTTCTCCCACCCTTTCTTCTCCTGTCCAGGTGAAGCAACGAAGTTTGGAAGGAATGACTCATCATCTCCAGCTCCACCAACAAGCTTGTCTACAGGTGGCGTGCAGTCGCAGCCCCAGCAGGCACCACAGGCAGGGACACAAGGTCAGAGCACAGGACAGAGCCAGGGTCAGCAGACTCAAAACCAGGCCTTCCTAAACCCCCCTCTGCCCCCTGGCTATGGATACACTGGTGAGAAATGACTATTTGACAAAGGTTGACTTATTGTTCTTTGATGACTGGTAGGATACGACAACATTATTGCAATCCCTTGGAGTGTTTTTGACTGGTCATCCACAGGTTTGCCATGCTATGCTGGTGTGCCAGGGGTACCTTCAGCCTTCCAGTATGCACCTACTGTGTTTGTTCCTCCTGCTTCTGCTAAACAACCTGCAATGGGTCTGGCTAACCCCTCCAACCAGTTCCACCAACAGCATCAGCCAAGTTATGGACAGCATGCTTACAGTACAGGTGAGCTGAGGATTATCCTGAAGGGCAGTTCAGGTCACTGCTCTAATTTTTGTGACTAACAGCTGAGTTAAAAAAAAAAGATTCAAAAAGAAATAAAGAAAAAAAATGTCCTCATTTTATTTGAATAACCAACCCAAATTCCAAAGTTAGTTTTTAAAGATGTAAGAACAAAAAATCTGCAAGATCAGAATTCACTTTGGTTTTAATAAATGTGGGGAAAAAGATACTTGAACCGCAACCTTAACGTGGTGGAGGGGTTCAAGTATCCGAATGAACCTGGGAGCCCCTAAGGCTTAATGCCCCTGATAGGGTCTCCCAAGGCAAACAGGTCCTAGGTGGCGGATCAGACAAATAGCAGTTCAACCCCCCCCACCCCAAGGAACAAAA